GTCGCGCATCCAGTTCGCACGAAGCGGGCCTTCCCACCGCTGCCGAAATCGGACGGCATCGTAGCCGTTATCAGACAGCACTTCCATGAGGCGTCGCTCGAGAGTAGGTGTGGCCCGGGCGAGCATGAAAAGCACACGCGAGTGATCCGCCGCGAAACGCTGCGCCAACGCTGGGAGAGAGGTGATGCTCGATAGATCCAAGAAGCGAAGCAAAACCCCAATGATGCCGGGGCTGCCCCAGAGCACCTGGAGGTCGCAGAGGGTCGTACGAATAGGGGTTCTATTAGCTATCATCATTTGATCGATAGTATCACTATTTATATTATCCGGAATGGCATGCTGGAACCAATACCCGCGGATATGCATGATGGAATCAATATCTCCATACGCATGCTGGAACCAATATGCCTATAAGCAAGATGGAACCAATACCTAATATATTATTATCCGGAATGGCATGCTGGAGCCAATACCCGCGGATATGCATGATGGAATCAATATCTCCATACGCATGCTGGAACCAATATGCCTATAAGCAAGATGGAACCAATACCTAATATATTATTATCCGGAATATGGAACCGTACCATGTCATGAACTTAGACTTCATGCATATTCATGAATAACGATTGGTTCCATCATAGCATTTCATACCCTACTTGTTTCCATCATAGTATATATACACCCTTATTGGTTCCAACATAGCAATTTCCCTTTTAAAGATAAGTTTTTAAAGATATCAACACCATCATGATGCGATAAACTTAAAGTCATCTCTATCTTTCTTATTGTAAACCACGTAGATGAAACCGTTTCTCATTCTCATACTATATTACTATACCTTCATTCTTTTTTCATCAACCATGCACCCAAACCCCGCGACAAAGAACGGAGAGCAGGTGCGGACAGCAGGTGCGGACAGCCTTTCTTGGACGGAATTTCCAAACCACAACATTAGGAACTCCAATTGCGCGTATGCTGACTTTACATCCCATTTTACAAATGTATCAAACTAATTGCCTTGGCGTGTCCTGAAGCCTTGCAGGATCATTCACGTGGATTTGCGATAATCAAAGCCGCATTGGCAGTAGTCTATGTAAACAGGATACTTGCTATTCAGTCTCCCCTCTCGGACATAAGTCAAAGCTGGAGCCGCGATGACAGCGACGGCGACGTTGGGTCCGGGAGAGGAGAAATCCATCCCAGTTCGCCATGGTCACTCCTGAGGGGAAGCTGGAGGTCTTCATGTCGGAGGTCATGCAGTTTGGAAGATCTTACGGTCCTTCCGTGGGCCAGTCTATGATGGACGCAATATGCGTGATCACTAGGCAGGAGTTTGACCGCAGGGACCGGCCCGTCATCCAGGCGGCGCTGCGCACGGAGGCGCACCAAAGGACGCGCCAGCGAGGCCTGGTGCATGTGGATGCGGCGGCGGGAGATTATAGCTCGGAAGATAGTCGACGAGGAGGAGAAGCGGCGCGAGGCCAGTGGCTACTTTGAGGTGAGGTCCAATGTATTCAATTTGAGTGTAAGCGAAAATGGATTTATAAGAAAGGGGATAAGAAGAGTTGGTCATTACCGGAGAAAGCACGGTCGTAAGAACTACACGGCAAGGAGTGCTTATCTCGGTTCGGAGGTGGTTCAGGCTAGCTCGACATAGCCGATGCCTGGAAGCAGGGTACTACCTTCATGTGAAA